TTGCCCTCTTCGTAGACCAATTCCCTCTCTATGTCCCGCAGATGTGGACAGCCCTTGATGACGCTGCGTGGTACCGACTGCGGTGATAACTGCAGTCTGTCCATCGTCCGTGCCCCCACTGTGTATTCTTGTGAATTCCGCCCGCGGATCTTGAAGTGAACACGCGTCGATTGAGCTGCGTTGATCCGCGCCCCGGCCACACCTTCCATGTAGAATGGTGCGGGGGGACCCGTAGCACCGATTCGCTCCGCCACCGTCGTCTCGATGATGGTGCAAGTCGACCCGTCGTCCAGTAGCGCGTAGGTGTCGCACGTTCCCGTGGGACCGGTGACTCGTATCGGCAGGATCTTCAGGAACGCGATCTTGTCGTTTTCCCTTGCCGATGCGGTGACTGCGGCGGACTTGTCCTCGACGACGTGTGTCGTTACTTCATTCTCCGGCTGTTGTCGCGTGGTGTGCAGCAGAGGGTGATGAGTCTGCGTGCACTCATCTACTCCACATCTCTTGCTCTTGCAGGCGTGGCGAAATCTTCTTACTTTGAGGCAGCGGAAACACAGCCTATGAGTCTTCGCTAACTCCCATCTCGCCGATGTGTCTGCTTCCTTCATCGTCTTGCAGTCCGATGGAGCGTGTCCCTCTCGTCGACACATCGGGCACGGTGGTGTAGCGGGTTTCTCCTGCGTCGCGTATGTCTTCGCCGTCTTCCTAGGAGCGGACTCCCGCCGGTCTTCGGACGGTATCTCCTCGGCGGGGGCGAAGTTTCCACATCGTGCGGCGGTCCTTTGCAGGAACTGAGAGAGTGTTATGAGGTCCGGTTGTCCCTCCGGTTGGTCGTTGGCGAAATCGTAGTACTTGAAGCGTAGTACCGACGGCATCTTCTCTGTGACGTTTCTCACTATTTCTTCGTTGTATAGGTAGTGACTCTTGTTCAGCGCTCGTATCGTGGCGACGACGTTCTGCACCTTGCTTGCGAAGAGGCAGACGTCTCTTGCGTTGTCCGAGAGTCGTGGTAGCGCGCGGAGTTTGTTCAGTTCGGCTGTGACGAGTGCTCCAGGGCGGCCGAACCTCGCGGCTAACATCTTCATCACTTCTTCTGCGGTCGTAGACCCGACGAATAGGGAGCGTGCCGCGTCCTTTGCGGCCCCCTTCAAACTTCTGCGCAGTCTTGCTAGGTTCTCTTGTTCTGTGAGTTGACTTGCGCTCTCTTCATAGGCCATCTTCCATGGTAACCACTCGCTCGACGATCCATTGAAGACTGGCAACTCGGTGACTCTTGACGCTGTGGAGGGCAGTATGTTGCGAGCGGCCATCTGCATGGCGATCGCAAACTCATTGCAATCGATGCCCACCTTCAGCACCGGTTCTTCTTTCTTCATCGACTGCATCGCTGCTGCTATCGTAGGCATGGCGGCATGTGGGTCAACGTGGCGTGCGTGGTCCCGGTGAAGTGCGTCGCTGCTCGGCTGTGGCGGCGGCGCTCTCGAATCCTCTTCAACGGGTCTCGATGGGACGAACCCCTGACGCTTGCCGGTGACTTCTTCTATCTCTGGTACATGCGGCTCCATCGTGAGTGCCAGCGTGCTTCGATGAACCCAATCCGACGTTCGTTCTCTTCTGACGGTAGCGTCGTCGTCTTCTACTTCCTCGTCGTCCTCTGATTCGGCTTCCAGGGCGGCGACACGTGCGGCGGCCAATTCCACCTCCTTTCGAAGTAGCTCCTCCCGTGCCTTGGCCAGAGCCTTCTTCTTCTGCGAGGCCGTGGTGCGAACCGTGCGTGCCGTGCCGTGCTTCGGTTCCTTCTTCCTTGCTGTCTCCTCTGTCGTTCCTGTGGCTTCGGTAGTCTCCGTGGCTCCTGTGGTCGTCGTATCGCCGGACGTGTTCGTAGTCGATGTGGTGGCGGCGGTAGACGACGTGGCAGCGACAGAAGGCATTCTGACAGCCGCAGACGACGTGGTGGCAGCAACGGACGGCGTGGCAGCGACGGACAGCGTTCCGGCGGCCGTAGTCGACGTGGTGGCGGCGGACGTTGTGGCTTCGGTGACGGCGATTTTTTGTTGCGACGACTTCATGTTTCTCGTAGTCGGCATTTCAGCGATCCGGCTTCAGAATGGTCTTCCTCCAGCGATCCGGCTTCTCGATGTACCAACGGTGTTCCTCCAGCAATCCGGCTCGAAGGACCACGATGAACGGTGTGGACTGCCGTTCGGTGAGCGTGGACTGTAGGGGCGTTGGTTCAGGCTGGAGTGAAACACAGGGATTACTATTCTGAAGCCTCCGGTACCGTCTGAAGAGAGTATTTTTTCTTCTTGTCCTATTTCTTCTCGAGTGTAGTGCGTCGCTGCCCGGAAGCGAATGCCGCTCGACGGGAGGCGGCCTATCTTTATACCCGCCCGCTCGCACGATAACGTTTCCAACTCGCGATAGCGATCTGTGCGAGCGGGACGGGGCGAAAATGAACGAGACGCGTGTCTCTTCAGATCGGTACTCTATAACGTCTATTTATTTATTTTATTTCAATTTACAATTTCTTAATTCTATTTATTGTTACAATTTCTATTCGTAGGTAATAACGACAACACGCAAAGGAATACTTTATTTAACTTACACTATCTTAAATCTATGTAAATCTATATAAAATAACAGAATACAGAAACGATTAACTAGGGACTTAACAACTATAAATTTTGATTACATATATACAAATAATGTCGCGAACATATTTATATAAATGAACTTAATATAAATAACATTTTTCAATAGTAATTTCTTTATAAATTTACCGCCTAGTTCGGAATGCAATTAATAAGTACTAGAGGGAGACTTTCAAAAACTTGTTTGCTTGGGTACCTCTGTCCCATTCGTGTTTCTACCGTAAAGCGGTTGTATTTGCATGGCTGTGTTTCGGTTTGAAGAATGGGATATGGCAGTGAATTTGCAGGGTACAGAGGAGTAACACCTGGGTCCTCAGGAGTGGCAACGCGTGGTAGGATGATGATCATGGACGAAACGGTGTGCCCTGTTGTGTCATGATGCTGCTCATGTTTATGAGCGACGGTTGCCACTTTCCATAGGGTGCCCACCTTGTTTGCCATTCTAAGTTGCATTAAAAAATTTTTTTTTACTCAAACTAAATGATAAGCATTTTTTACAGTTATTTCTTTATAAATTCACCGCCCAGTTAAGGAATGCAATTTCAGATTGTTTGTAATAGATAAATTCAAAAACTACTCAACCGATTTTAATTTTTTTTTTATAGAAAGTTAAATTATCAAGGAGTTATATAGACCATAGCTTATTTGAAAAACTTCCGTCTACCTGTGTGAAGTCGGGCCGGATCACTAGTCTATGACAAAGACACGACTAGTGCTCGTGTGCCGCAAGTACTCGAAACATCTGTCAGTTTCGCGTAATCATTATCGTGTAATCGAATTATGTACACTGAGTACACTAGTACCTAAAGATTGAAGTCAGTACTCGAGTCAGCCTGTCTCGTCACATCACTAGTCAAGGTCACTCGATAGTATCGTCAATGACACTATTGTAGTATGAACAAAAAAAAAACACAATAGTTACATGCTTCAGTAAAGATGTAGCGGGGTCACTCTATCATTGGTCTAATACCAAACAATGGTGTCGATTTTGATGCGTAATTTCTCTTATTATAATCCTATTATAATATTTCTATTTGTACAGCCGTATTTTTGTTTTTATAAGTAGTAGTTTTTTATAATGGTAATGATTGTACAAATATACATGTGTTGGGGGGAAAGGGATTGTTAGTAATGGAGACTGAGAATCCCATTGCTAGCAATATACCCAACCAGGTCGACCTCCTCGCGGTTCTCCCTGGAAACTTTCATGGTTGATTTCTGATGAATTCATCATGATGGGCTAACTGGCCTGTTTTCATTCTCATCTATCAGCCTTCACTGGTGCTCCGCCAGCGTATCCCGTTAGCGTAGGCGGGGTTACCATACCTTTTTCACCCATCAAAAAAAAAAATACATGTATTCAAGTAATATTTTTAAGTAATCATCATCATCATTCCAGCCATTATCCGTCCACTGCTGGACATAAGCCTCCCTTATAGAGTGTCATAAAGAACGGTTGGCAACCGCTTGTCTATGCCGGGATCACACGGCCAATTTGAGTGTACATGTTATAAAATATGTTCGTCAAATTATCAGTCGATTTTGATAATTCCTTTTGCACTCGCATTTTCGCAAAAAAATATTATTTTGGCATCCATTGGCCTTTTTAATATAAGTGGTCATATTAATTTTCTTCAAACATCTCCTGAGTACAGACATTTTTAGTTACTGTTCTAATTTACGTAAATTGTACACATAATAAATTAGTACATGTTTTTCTTAATACACAATAATATAGACGTCACTGTAAATATTAATGTTTAAGCAACTGTTAGTGAAATTGACTGGAATTTATTTATTTCGCACTAATTATGTATTTTCATATATAAAGATATATAAGAATGAATGGAGATGTCGGTAGGGGCCACCCTAGACGGACGTATGTTGACTAAATAGGCGACGTGCTGAAGAAGGGCCAAATTAAATAAAGAAGCGAAAGAGGTTTGTTTGAATCGAAGCATTTGGCGTTCCATTGTTTCTGCCTACCCTAATGGGAGACAGGCGTGACAGATATGTATGTATGTATATGGGGGATGACCTTTTTACCGCCATTAATGTCCAAAATAATCCAATATATAGATATTAAAGCTGTACAGATATTACCTATGCCTATATATTTGTTATTCTTTCAAACAAAAACTACTGAACAGATTTAAATGAAATTAACACGGGTAGAATAAATCCTAAACATATAGAATACTTTATATATTGATTTACGTGGACGAAACCGCGAGATATATATAAATGCAGATATTTGTATTGAGCGGGTCTCGAACCCGCAAACAACGGAAGTTGAAGCAATGTAAACCGCTATCAAGATCATCATAACACGCCCTGATGACTTTCTATTTCCATGACAGATGTAGCAAATATAGTTTGAGTAATTGATAATAACGGGCTATTGAAATAGGTTGCCTAACAGTTATCTCATTTATTCAACGGACGGGTGTCGTCGACGACGCCTTGGCTTATTGCCGATAAAAATATAACCTTTTGCCCATAACGTATTAGCCTAATGTTAATGTTTTAAAACAATACAGATTAATAGTCTGTGGTTTGTCAACGCACCGCGTTAATTCGCGCCAAAAAAAAAACTCGAGTGTTTATTATTTTATTATAAAACGTATTGTTTACAATTTAAAAATGGAACCTACCGAAACTGTAAGTGATATGGACAAAGTGCTCTCACGTTTCAATATTTTGGGCCGTTATCATGCGCAGTTCATGTTTTTTTCATTTATGGCTTTCGCATCGAATTCAGTGTTTTGTTGTAATTTTGTGTTTGCTGCAGAAGAAGTGGGTTATAGGTAAGGCTCAGTTATATTGTTGTTATATATTATTTATAAAAAAAACAACGGCTGTATTACTTGCTCGTATTTCTCGGTGCATTCAATTGCATGCGGAATTGAGCGGTAGATTTATAAAAAAAAAATATTATTCAAAACTAAGTTCAAAATTAAGTTTAATCGAATAAAAAATATTATTTTATTAATTGTTTTCATTTTATTGTTACTGCCAGTTATATTAAATAATACTCGGGTTAAAATAGCATACAACAACAAAAAAAAAAAAATAATAAAATAAACAAACTTACTGGAAAAAAAAGTTTTTAATAATAAACGTTTTTTTAACGCTGACGCTGTCTTTCTTTCAGACAACTTTTAAACAATTTATTGCACCGGAATATTTTGAAAATTTGTATTTATTATAATCTAATTTTTATTCGTGATATTGTGCTCTTGACCAAGAAGAATAGATTAACCGAGATAAAAGGCAGTCTGTATCCTTCTAGATCTCAAATACTATGTGCATACAAAATTTCATGACAATTTGTTTAGCCGTTAAAGTGCAAATAGGTAATAAACAAACTCACATTTACATTTAAAATTATAGGAAAGATCCATGTGATTCGTAATAAAATAAAAAAAAAAATATTACGATATTACAAAATTACTTTTTATTATGATTTTATTTTTTAATTAAAGTTATGTTTAAAAAAAAACAGTCTTCAATTGTGACAAAATTATCTATCTAATATATCCTTTCAAATAAAAAAAAAAATTCTAAATCGGTTTAGAACTAACGCAGTTATGAAATAACAGACGTTAACAAAAATACAACTCAATTGAGAACTCCCTTCGTTTTGAAGTTGGTTAAAAATAAAAAAAGAACTAAGCGTTTGGGAATGTGCAAATTAAGCCTTTAAAAAATAATAATAAAAAAAAATATAATTTTATACATTTGTTGTTTGGTTCTCATGACATCGGGCACCTTGAAGACTAAGCGACTGATGTAACTCTGTTGCATTTATTATTATGTTTTTCAATCGAAAATTCTATAAATAGCATTGCAGCTGTCCAAAAATAATGTAATAATAACAATATTAGTTATTGTTATTTTAACGTTTATTTATTTGTTTCTGCCTACCCTAATGGGAGACAGGCGTGACAGATATGATATGATGATATGATGTTATTTAAAGTTATTGAACCATAAATTGTAGACAATTTAATAAGTTGCCAAATGACATAAAAACAGTGAATAAGTTTTTTTTTTTATGCAACTTAGAATGGTAAACAAGCTGACGGCCCACCTGATGGTAATTGGTAACAGTCGCCTATAGACATGATCAGTAGCATGGACATAACAGAGTATACTGCTGCGTCTATGACACCTCCCATGCGTTGCCATTTCTGAGGACTCAGGTATTGTTCCTATGTACCCTGTAAATTCACGCTATATCCCACCCTTCAAACCGAAACACACACAGCCATGCAAACACAACTGCTTCACGGTTGAAACACGAATGGGACAGAGGTACCCAAGCAATCGACTTTTGTACAAAGTCTCCCTCTGGTGGTTTATCAGCATATTGAAACAGCTTCTAATTAATAAAACCTATTATTTCATTGACGAATATTTAAAGAATAAATTATATATAACATCTACCTCTCTCCGTAGGTTGTTATACCTAACGAGATGTATGTTATGTCTGTAAGATATAATATCACAATGTATAATACAAATATCATCATCATCATCGTCATATCAGCCTTTAACTGTTCACTGCTGAACATAGGCTTCTACCCTGGGGGTTTTGCTAATAATTGCCACGTTTGCCAGGCGGATTGGCAACCGCAGTCTGACTTTAGAGATGTTTTAAGAGGGACGCTGCTGCCCATCCTTCGCCCTCCCTTAGTCTCTTACGATATCCACGGGAAAGGAAGGGGTGGCTTATTCTATACCGGGATCACACAGCCAAAGCGACTATAGTAACCAATAAATAAATATTTCATGAAAACATGTAATTCTCGGTAAGTTTAGCTATAGTTTTAGTAATTAATTACTATGTATTTTCATTCAAGGTGTAAGGACGAGAGTTTTAGTAACAACACGTGTGGCAGTCAAAATGGTTCAATACAGTGCTCAGAATGGATTTACGACAATCCAGACAGCTTTGTAGCAGAAGTAAGTACTTTTTTATCCAACTTACAATGACAAACAAACTGACGGTTCATCTGATGGAAAGTGACAACCGTCGCCTATAGACATGGACATAGCAGAATATACAGTATCGCCCGTGATACTCTTGATAAGTTGCTATTCCCGAGGACTAATTTGTGTGTATACCTCTATAGTTTGTTTTCTATTACCATGAAAGGTGGGTCTTTATACCGAAACATAACTGCATCATGGCAGAGACGAATGTTTACAGTTAAACTACTTATAATTCTTAATGAAATTAATAAAAATGTAAACAATCAAATCGACTATAAGACAGTCTGCTGACAAATCTGAAATCTTTTAATAATAATAAAAATAAATATTTATTTGCTTTAAACATGGTATACAGTGATGTTATAATTATATTTAAGAGAGCACATGTCTTGCTAAAATCGTATAGCGTGCAAATTAAGTTTCATATTATCAATCATTGTTAGATATACAAAAGTTTTTGGTAATACCAAATGTCGAAAACGTCTACCAAGCAAATGTTTTATGTCATAAAAATTCTGTTCCTTTAGCCAGTTATAAAATCTTTTTTCAAATAAAGTGACATTCAAATCTTTAAATTCATTTGGAATTTTATTATATATATGAACGCACATAGTAAGGCAGTTTTTTTATATTTGTCTGATCTTGGTATTTCTGTCAGTACAAGTCCGAAGTTGATGGAACAGTTGATGGAATGTTCCAATTTCTTACTAATATAATTTAAATAACGTTCATTTAAACAAAGATTTATAAGTCGAGAAGAATACGATCAATTTATTTCGGTATCTTATAACTTTTTGTCCACTTTATTTTTAAACTACCAGCTCGCCTTAACTTCTCACGGACACAATTTATTACAAAACTTTGAATTTATTTGCTCATAGAAAAGTTTAATTAGTATGTATTGTACATATATACATACAATTTAAATGATTGTGAAATCCGTGTCAAAATCTTTTGAATGGTATAAAAGTTGAAAAGACTTTTTTTATACAACTTAGAATGGCAAACAAGCTGACGGCCCACCTGATGGAAACTGGTAACCGTCGCCTATAGACATAAGCAGTAGCATGGACATAACAGAGTATACTGTTTCGCCCATGATACCCCCCATGCGTTGCCATTCCTGAGGACTCAGGTGTTATTCCTCCGTATCAAGTAAATATCACACCATATCCCACCTTTCAAACTAAAACACAGCCATGCAAACACAACTGCTTCACGGTTGAAACACGAATGGGACAGAGGTACCCAAGCAATCGACTTTTGTACAAAGTCTCCCTCTGGAAGAGATTAGTTTTAGACAATCTTATTCTTATTCTATGTAGTTAAAATCTGTATTTGTTTACAGTTTGGATTGGCATGCCAGGATTGGAAAAGAACCTTAGTGGGCACTATACACAGTCTCGGATATATGGTCGGGCTATTGATAGTGGGACCTATGTCCGACAGGTAATTTTAAACAGTCTATTTCTTGAAATAACTATACTTCTATCGTTTATTATCAAGTATATATTATATATATATATATATATATATATATATAATAATGAGTAGGGATATATCTGTGCCTCTAGTGAGAAAGGGTTCAATTCAAAATGGTCACTTTTCAGGAGAGCCAAAAAACTATTTTAAATAAAGAAAAAAAATTCTGCTGCTTTTATTATTTGCTAATTGAACAAGTCAATGATTGCATTTATAGTAATTTTTTCTCCTCTTTCTTATGAAATTGTCGGTTTTTGTGTAAAACCTATAGTTTTAAAAATAATTCTATTATACCTAATCACACTTAACAAAAATATTAAAATTATGATGTGAAAATAGTTTTAAGTTGAATTAAAACTATTTTATTGAAGTATTGAAGAAAAACAATGTTGTGTATTTTACGCTATAAAAAAAATAATCGCTATTAAATGGTGTAAAAGGGTTCAAATCGAACTGATTCATTTTACAAAAATAATTTTTGTAAAATATTGTAGTTTTATTTCTAATTATGACTTTTTTACCACAAATATTTTGTTAATTGTAGCCTTTTACATGTTTACTATCTCTATTGTTTTTAAAGATATCGTTACGATTCTTATACCATTCGAAAGAGAAAAATTTGCTTATTTAAAGTAGCCTAAAATAGAAAAAGGCTATAACTTGAGTTATACCCTTTCTCACTAGAGGCACAGATATATATATATATATATATATATATATATATATATATATATATATATATATATATATATATATATATATATATATATATATATATATATATATTTGGTGGGTGAAAATGGAATGGTAACCCCGCCTGCGCTAACGGGATACGCTGGCGGAGCACCAGTGAAGGGTGATAGATGAGAATGAAAACAGGCCAGTTAGCCCATCATGATGAATTCATCAGGAATTAACCATGATAGTTTCCAGGGGGAACCGCGAGGAGGTCGACCTGGTTGGGTATATTGTTAGCAATGGGATTCTCAGTCTTCATTACTAACAATTTCTTTCCCCCCTAGGAATATATATTCACATTATTACATGTATCACATCTCCATATTTAGAAATAATAGAATTTCATCGTGCCTCCGATCAAACTGTTTATAATTACTCCTCTCCATCCAAAGGTTGCAGGGAGGAGACCGCTTTTAGCGATAAGGTCGCCCATTGTTTTCTCATTGTGATTATCTCTTGTAATAGTTTATATCTATAATAAGTTTACTATTGTAATCTTTTAGAGGAAACAATAAAGAGTATCTATTTATCTATCAAGTTACATTTTTTTTCAAATATATTTTTTTTCTTAATATCTATCAGTACAGACATAATCTAATTACAGTTTTATAAGATTTGTTACTAGCCTCAATATATAGTTTCTTTTATATAATTTAGAATAGCAAACAAGCTGACGACCCACCTGATGGAAAGTAGTAACTGTCGCCTTTATATGTGAACATGCGAAGGTATCATAAGCGAAACAGTATACTCTGTTATGTCCATGGTACTGCTCATGTCTATAGGCGACGGTTACCACTTTTTATCAGGTGGGCCGCCAGCTTGTTTACCATTCTAAGTTGCATGTTCACCTAGGACATACATTAAAGCTGAGTGGAGCCATTTCAGTGCATTTGTATGGATGTAAAAATGATTATTTTATGTTTATTTTTAATTATGGTAAATTAAGTTTAATTATATGTACATTTTATTTGCTCATTTTTTTTCTCGTTTGTTGTTTATATTGTATTTTTTACATTGCACTGAATAAAATATTTTTCTTCTTCTTCTTCTTCTTCTTCATAAAAAAACATCCCCGTTTACAATTTCATTCAAATCCGTTCAGCCGTTCAAAAGTAATTAATAGACATACAAATACGTTTACAAACTTCCACATTTATAATATTAGTAGGAAGTTTGTATTGGATCGATAAGAATAGTGGGAAAATTACTTTTATCACAACTGAAGTAGTTTTTGAAGAAAAATCTAATCTCGTGATCATATTATCGGCAGAGATCAGTAAAATCATGACCGTAGCTCATGACCGTAATCCGCAATGGTAAGTCAGTGGCATCTGACGACCATTATCATTGCGGAGAAAGATAATACTTGAAATGAAATATTACCAAAAAATATCAATATAAACTAGGTGAATAAGTATTAATTCTATCTTTCCCTTTCTCTCTGTACTTATCCATTCTTTATGCCAGGTTGTCTGTAAGAGATTGCTTTTAGCGATAAGGCCGCCTTTTGTATATGCACATTCTGTATAAATACTCCTTGTGTACATCTCTACTGTGCGCAATAAAGAGTTTATTATTATTATTCTATTATGTATTTTATTATTTTATTTTTGTTGTATTTTGATTTATTATCATCGTCATCATTATAACACAGGCCTCCTCCATAAGGGAGTTTTTGCCAGTTACCACACTTGGCAGGCGGGTTGGTAATCATAGGTTTTTTTTAATGGACGACTGTGGAGTGGTAACTTCGCCTGCGCTAACGGTATACGCTGGCAAGGCACCAGTGAATGATGGTAGGCGAGATGAAAAGACATGTCAGTTAGCCCATCGTGATGAATATACCAGGAATTCAGGACGATGGCTTCTAGGGGGAACCGCGTGGAAGTTGATCTGACAAGGTGTTAATAGGAATTAGGACTAACCTCCTCGTTAATAACAATCGCTGCCCCCTTCACTAAGGCGAAGGGGTTCGCCCTCGAGGTGCCTACCTGTGCCCTCCAAGGAAGGCTAAGAAGACTGTATGTATATATATATATATATATATATATATATATATATATATATATATATATATATATATATATATATATATATATATATATATATATATATATATATATATATATATATATATATATATATATATATATATATATATATATATATATATATATATTATATATATATTCTGACATGTCTGAAGTTGTTTTTTTTGTAAAAAAATAATAATAAGGATTCTCTCTCTCTCTTCATTACTTCATTATTTCATTACTCTTCATTATTCGCCCACTTCATTACTGAGGGTCGTGTCCTTGAAAGGTGTCTGTAGCCTCTCGCAGGGCAGCTGCAATTGACAGTCCCGTAACAGCGGTTAGTCGGCGGTCCGACTATCGACTAGGTGATCGTCCGCGTGGTCTTTTTCCCTCTATTTTGCTTACTGATTACTTAGTATATAATTCCCCCTAGCATATGACACGTTTCAACTATAAAATGTATTTAATGATTGGAACGTGTCAAAATATTCTAGTATTTTGTATACGTTGTAATTATCTCTAGATCATTGTTTCTCAATCGAAGGGTCGCAACTCTTTTTTTTTTTTTACAACACAGGGGGCAAACGAGCATGCGGCTCACCTGATGGTAAGTGACTACCGCCGCCCATGGTCACCCACAACACCTACGGCATTGCAGGTGTGCTGCCGGCCTTTTAAAAAGGAATATGCTCTTTTCTTGAAGGTTATGTTGTCGTATCGGTTCGGAAATACTGCTGCTGGAAGTTGATTCCAAAGAGTGGTTGTACGTGGAAGAAAGTGCCTTGAAAAACGCACGGTGGAGGACCGCCACTCGTCCAGATGGTTGGGATGAAATTTTAGTTTATGGCGGGTTGTACGATGGTGAAAATCTGCAGCAGGTATCAATCCGAACAATTCTTCAGAGCACTTCCCATGATAAATTCGGTAGAAGATGCACAGAGATGCAACATCTCTACGCAGTTTCAGTGGGTCGAGCCGGACAGTAAGACGCCGATCGTCAACAATTCGAGCTGCCCGACTTTGAATGCGGTCTAACGGAAGGAGTTGGTACTGTGGCGCTCCTGCCCACAGGTGAGAACAGTATTCCATGTGTGGCCTCACTTGAGCTTTATACAGTTTCAGGCGGTTTTCTGGCGTGAAATACCGTCTCACCCTATTGAGCACCCCCAACTTTTTGGAAGCTATCTTAGCTTTTTCCTCCAGATGACCGCAAAACTGGACGTCGCTAGATATATCGACGCCAAGAATCCCCAGACTCGACTTATTATCAAGGGAAGTGCCCTGAAAGTGAGGTGATACGACAAACGGTGTCTTTTTTACGGTGAACGCGCAGACTTGTGTCTTCTTAGGGTTAAAGTGAACAAGATTGCGTTCACCCCAGATCGAAACTTTATCGAGTGAAGTTTCGATTTCAGACACAAGTCTGTTCCGGAGCTCATCGGTATGTGCCCGCGAGATCTTTGCATGACCGGTGTATAATGCATCTCCTGTACTGTCGTCCGCATAACAATGAATATCACTGATCTGTAACATATCCTTGATATGCAGAAGAAACAGTGTCGGAGATAGTACACAGCTCTTTAAGGGGGGGGGGGGGGTCGCTTTGTTATTAAAGGGGGTCTGTTAAAAAATAATAAGACCTTGAAAGATTCGTTTAATGTAGGGATGTGCGACTTTACTAATTCAATTACTAATTATATTATTGACTGAGCAATACATTCGAATTATTCGAATGATTTTCAAATAATTGAAATGTATTATATTTAATACTAGCGACCCGCCCCAGCTTCCTTCAGTAATGTGCTTCGTGCACATTACATCACACATTAGAAACCTCTAAAATTATCAGTGTTTCTCTACAATATTATGCATGTATTATACATATAAACCTTCCTCTTGGATCACTTTATCTATTAAAAAAATCCGCTTCAAAATCCGTTGCGTAGTTTTAAAGACTTAAGCATACATAGGGACGGACAGACAGCGTGTGATTAATAAGTAAATCAAGGAGGTAAGTTAATTTTTATCAATTAATTATTATTATGTATATTAAAAATGAACGTAGTTAACCTTTTTCTGTTTTTTTTTTATTTATTTTCGTCGTCACTTGTTATACTCTGTATTTAACGTAATAAATTAAAATAATAAAAATTAGTTATTTAACGTATAAATAATAATATTAATTAAAATATTATAATAATTTTAAAGTGATGGGGTTGCAAGACTTTTTACTTTATGGCTTTTTCGTGGGTCGCGACATAAAAATGGTTGAGAAACAATGCTTTAGATAATACAACGTATGGGGTTACATAGTAGGAGACTTTGTTGCTTGGTGCAACATCTTGATTAAATGGGTACAATAAAAAATGTATTTCTTAATTAGAGAATGTTACAGTCCAATTAAATGGCATTACATTTTAAACATATTTTAATAATAGTAGAGAGATAGAGGAGGGAAAGGGATTAAATGAAACCATGATAGTTTCCAGGGGGGACCACATGGAGGTCGACCTACCTGGGTATATTGCTAGCGATAGGACTGGCGGTCCGCATTACTAACAATCTCTTCCCCCCCCCCCCCCCCCAAATGTGTACTCTATGTATATAACTGATATTTTGTGCTAAAACAATTCATGTATCGAATACTGAATAATTTCTCGTGTTTGTTCCCGATTTTGCCAAGGTTAGGCAGGAAGATGACAGTGGTGATCACAGGCGTGATGGGAGGCGTCTTCGGGGTGGCCAGGAGCTTCGCCAAGAACTATTGGCTGTTTATAGCTCTCGAGTTTGTGGAAGCAGCAATAGGTGACGTCTGCTCGCCTATGTTTGTACTGAGTAAGTATAATTAACAAAACTTGACTATAGTCATACTGTTTCTACTTAATTTTACTGTATCAAAAGGGTGAACGAGAAAAGAACAATAATAAAAACAATAAAGAATAGAAGAGGCAAAATGCTGGGCCACCTTTTATGACATGACGATTGTTTTAAAAGCATGGTAGAAGGAAAAATAAAGGGCGAAAGAGGAAGGGGAAGACCGAGGAATAACTACGTGGAACATATAAAGGAAACACTAGGTGTCATGTCGTATAGGGAGATCAAAGATGTGGCGTGGGATACATAGATAGTTGGAAGAAATGACATGAATTTTCTGACTGAATTTTCATTTAATGTTAGACATAGACACCTATATAAATATACATTGTAAATAAACTGGCTTTAAAAAAAAAAGTAATTCAATTGAGTTTCTTGCCAGTTCTTCTCAATTGGATCTATATACCGAACTGGACGGTAGGGTAAATATAAAATTATAATGTAAAAATTTGACGTTCATAAGCGGCTAAAATGTCCTACATGAATAAATTATTTTTGAATTTTGAATTTTTTTTGAATTTTGAATTAATTGCACTGACAAGGGGAAACTCTTAATTGAAAAGTGAGAGAGAAATAGCTTAGATAAAGATTATTAGTAATAAGTCCACTGTACACTGTCGACTGTCAGTTTGTCGTCAATTTGGCTCACCTAGTAACCATGGTGACTATATCCTTCTCCATCTAATAACTATATTACTATATATATGACAAGCACTAATATATATAACAGAATTTAAAATAAATACAAGTCTAGAAGTTATAAACAAACAAACTCACTTTCACGTTTATTATTAGGAAAAATCTAAACATTTATGAGAAATTTATTGGTTCTTTCATAAAAATTGCCATAAATAGCAGACTTAACGTCATAGGCATTAGCTAGTAGTCAACATTTGGATTAGAGAGGCTTCTCTTACACACTCCATTACTTTTCTAAGGTTGATTATGACAAAAAATTAGGTAAATCAATGTTATGATTAGGTAAACATTTGAGTTGTTCAATAGTTTCTTATTGTACACACTAATTATATATAAAAATATGACAGAGGTTAATAAATATACAAAGGCGAGCTTAACTCTAAAAGAGTTCTATTCCAGCAACACCCGAAGTAGAAAGGAGCATCAATGTCAGCGGGTAGAGCGGTGTACAATATTGTGACAATTTTCAAACAAAAGAACTAGACAGACTTATGTTTATATATATATATATATGTTAATATAGATAGAAGATGCTATTTAACTACTCTACTCTTATACTCTATTCTACTCTTTTTATTTAATCTGTTATTGTTTTGTTTCAGCTGTAGAGATAGTGTCAACTGAGAATCGATTGTTATTTTACATTCTCAATACATTTGGTTACGCATTCGGAGCATTTTTACTATCTGTATGGGCCTACGCTTTTCCATACTGGAGAACATTCCTGAGAGTGATCTACGCTCCAGCGTTCCTCTTTTTCTCTTATCTATTCGTTATGGACGAGAGTCCAAGATGGCTTCTCATTAAGGGGAAAAAAGAGAAAGCCGTAGCCGTTCTCGAGAAAGCGGCAAAACGTAATAAAATCAAACTTGATCAAGCAGTATTGGAGAAACTGGAAACTGACAAAGAGGAAGATATAGCATTTGTGAAACTCTTAAAAGTTACATTCAATTCTAAGACACTTTTGAAGAGATTTTTCATTTGCGTGGTCTGGTGGGCCACGTCTACTTTTGTCAACTATGGATTGACCATAAATTCAGTGTCTTTACAAGGGAACAAGTATGTAAACTACGCTCTAGTCGGTGTAATGGATATTCCAGCGAATATTATTATTTTGTTAGCTTTGAATCGTTTCAAAAAGAAGTATTCGCTTATAGTGTCATTCTTGATCGGTGCTGCATTGTGTGTATCGCAACCTTTTATGCCTACAAGTGAGTAACTGAGCTGTTTTTTATGGTACATTCATTGTCTAGATTAACTTTGCTACCAAGTAACTGCCATTGTTATGAAAAAAATATCTTGCCTTTATTGTCAAATTATTAATTAATATATAAAATGCCTATATCTATTAAGCAATTAACAATTTTTGTTTAAATGCAAGTTACTTTTAAGCAGGTTACGAAGTTTTTCTTATAAAAAAAATAAATGTTTAATCTTTGTTTTTGTTGGAATAACAAACAAGCTGACAGCGTACTTGATGGAAGGTGATAATGGTCACTTATGAACATAAACAGTACCATCGCCATCATAGAATACCCACAACGCCCATGAAATGCATTACCATACCTAAAAACTAAGGATTTTAGTCTCCATATTCAGAAATTTTACTGCTATCTCTCAATATTGCAGTAAATTAATTGAACATAAATAATAAAGGAAATACATATAAAAATATAATATTTTTGCCTGATTTATACTTAAAAAATTTTAAAGCTCACGAAAGATATTTCGAGAAAAACATTGTCGATATATTGCTTTGTGCATTAACGACTAAATCTGTTTTAGATCTAAACTGGCTGTCTGTACTATTGTCTATGGCTGGCAAGTTGATGTCGTCGTTCTATTTCAATATCACGTATATCTACACCTCAGAATTGTTCCCAACATACACCAGGAATTCAATGCACGCACTTAGCTCATCGCTTGGAAGAATCGGCTCAATAGTTGCACCGCAAACGCCTTTGTTGGTTTGTATTTTATATTTTTTAATTGAATGTAAATTAATATTTCTTTACCTGTTACAAGAACGTTACCTTCTTAAGGAAGAGCTAATTTTTTTTGTATTTTTTGTGTTTATTATACAACTAGTGACCCGTCGCGGCTTTGCACGGGTACACACTACATCAGATTACATTAGAAACCTCTAAAATTAACAGTGTTTCTCTACTATATTATGCATGTATTATACATATAAACCTTCCTCTTGAATCACTCTATCCATTAAAAAAAACCGCATTAAAATCCGTTTCATAGTTTTAAAGATTTAAGCATACATAGAGACAGATAGACGGGAAGCGACTTTGTTTTGTACTATGTAGTGATTATCTTTGAAATCAATAGATTTCGTTATCATTATGGTTTGTATCAATACTGTTATCATCGAAGACTTAACCTTTAGTTTTTCTTAATCTTAAACACGGGTATAATCTGTACACGTTAAGTGTACCGTGATCTTTATCTGAACAGTAATCTATAAACATATCAGTATCATCACCAGAGGTAGACTTTGTACAAAAATCGATTGCTTGGGTACCTCTGTCCCATTCGTGTTTCAACTGTGAAACAGTTGTGTTTGCATGGCTGTGTTTCGGTTTGAAGGGTGAGATATGGCGTGAATTTACTGGGTACAGAGGAATAACACCTGAGTCCTCAGAAATGGCAACGCATGGGGGGTATCATGGGCGAAACAGTATACTCTGTTATGTACATGGTACTGCTTATGTCTATAGGCGACGGTTACCACTTTCCATCAGGTGGGCCGTCAGCTTGTTTGCCATTCTAAGTTGTATAAAAAAAATGCAAGTGGAGGTAACTTCGAAATGAAACTTTGTACTGAGCCATCTGATCAGCGTGGTAATAAAAGGCTTTTAAACATAAAAAGAAGATTTCTGCAGAAGTGAAACCATGCTTAGTACTTTAATAGATTGTTAATTTCGTTAAATAGGCCACCAGATCATAATATACAAAAAATTCGTATGACGATATTTGTTTTTATATACAGTTTTCTAAATGTGAATTGTTTATACCGATTTGAGAGATAGGATAGTTTTTAATTCCGATAATGGACTTTATTATACGTAAAACAGCATTCTATGGCTCACCTAATAATCCATAGTATAAAGAAGTTACTTCTCGAACATAGAAATTAAAAGTAAGCGACTTAGCGGCTCTATATCATTCTTCAAAATACATTTGTCTTCATCTTCACGAGTTAGATGATTGGCCGGGAGCTATCAAGGACTGTATGTCCCTTTTTTAAACTGGGTTCAAGTAACAGCAGTGGCCGGTGCCCCTCAGTGTATCAATGAGTTATTTTTAGAGCTCCGTATGTAAATCTCCAAGCGGGACTGTTTGTGAACTAAATCATTTGTTGCTTAAGTACCTTTTTAGTATTGATTTTATTTGATTTTTTTGTCTTTTTTTTTCTTTCATCATTGTAATTGTCATTCTCTTCTTCTTCTCATTGTAAAACCGACCTTAGTAGTGAGAAAAGCAATTATTTTAACAGTATACTCTGTTATGGCCATGGTACTGCTCATGTCTATAGGCGACGGTTACCACGTTCCTTCAGGTGGGCCGTCAGCTTGTGTGTCATTCTAATTTGTATAAAAAAATATATTAATTTCAGATGCGTTATTGGTACGGGCTGCCTTCCTTGGTGTTTGGTGGCGTGTCATTGTTTGCTGGTCTTGTCACCTTCTTAGTACCGGACACGGGAGATGACCCCCTACCCGATACAGTGTGTGAAGCAGAGGCGGTGGGCAAATCTGGCGTTGTTCCTAAAACTGACAGGGGTGCCTTCAAATTATAATGTATTTAAAAGGCTGGTTTTGTCTAATGTGATTTTTGATGCTAAATTATTGAATAAAAATGTTATTACCATACACGTGTGTGTGTTATAATTTACTGTGCCCATACAAAGAGGGAAGTGGTTAAACAAAAAAGTAATAAAATCGGTCAAGTGTGAGTTACGAGGGTACCGTATATAAAATGAATAGGTTTTTGTTTTCTTTAGATAAAAAAAAGTATAAGTTATGACTATAAATTTATTAAAAATACAAATAAACTCCGATACAAATAAATCTACAAAAATAGTTGATAATCTTAAAATGCCTGAACAGATCTTCATAAATTGTAGCTAAGAGTAATCTCGATCATGTCAGTTTAAAAACAAAAAACTGCATCGTAATCGGTCTATTCATTTAGGAGCTACGATGCCACAGCCAGATACAAAGACATACGGACACACAGACACGCCATATTTATAATACCCCTTTATGCATTCGTGGGTTAAAAATATTCGTATGTGGATTAAGATAAAATTACCTTTTGTACAAAATGTATTTATTGTGTTTCTTAAATAAGATAGTTATTATTGTATATATTAATGGTCGAGGGATGGGCAGCAGCGTCCATCTACGGTTGCCAACCTGCCTGCCAAGCGTACTGGTAAAACCCCCCAAGGGGGAGGCACATTAGTTATACTGATATGATGATGATGATGATTCCATTGTTTCAGCGTGATTAAGTAACAAACATTCAAATATACATTAAAACATACAAATATTTTTACATTAATTTATAATATTCGTAGTAATTACCACTTTCCTTCTTGTTTATTTCCATGCAAATGTATGTTACATACACTGTCATGTATTTATTTTTACTGCTTATTTTCCATACAGCACGGAACTCCTGGAGCCCGGGTGCAACTAGTAATTTCGATGCGTGGCACCGCCGCTGTGGCGATGCCAAACGGTGTCGCGCAAGCAATTTTCAATTTGGCCCGACCGTCGTACGAGTGTTGCCATAATGAATATTTTCCCCCAATTGTGGGGGAAAAAATTTCTGCAGGCAAATTTTTATGAAAAATGAAATGAGTGTGGAAAAAAATACGTAGTATTTTGGACAATTTTGGTATATGTAAACCTTATATAGAAGTACATAGATTCGTAAAGTTGCATAGCATATACTAATGAAGATAATAATAGGTAAGAAAGAAGTCAGTATTGACATTTTTTTCGTCGTTATTCTAATGATTACATGGTAAAAGGTGATGAGAAGTGATACAAATTTGTGATTTGGTAAAATGGAGAAAGTTATATCAATTTGGAACATAAATATTTAAAACCTGTGTAAAAATTTTAAATTGCATCTGGCAACACTGTGCCGTACCGCCGGCTGCCGGTGCTGTTGCAATATTAATTCCTGGCTGCGCAACCGTTGCAGCCCCGCAATTTGGGAGACGAGGGATAAATTGTAAATGGTATTGAGCGTTTTGATATCTTAAATAAGTCTAATGGATTTTTTTTCATTGGCTCAAAGTATCTACATTTGGGGTAAAGACATGCTTCACACGAATCTTAATACGAATAATTATTGTAACACATTTTTTTAATTAACTTTCTTTTTTCTCTTTATTCTTTTCTTTTGCTTTTTAAATGTAATTATATTATTATTATTTATTTTATTTTCAATTCTCTCTCACACACATACGTGTGTTATATATATATATATATTTATTTATTTATTTATTTATAAAAGACACACCAACAATATGCTCACAATAATTAAGTATATATACAATGTTATTAGTAAGTAAAAGAGAAAAACTACTATTCAAAAATGCTTAAATCTAAGTTTGAACAAAAACATCTTACTCCTCACTACCAAGCTTAAGGCTATATGAACATATCAATTAAAGGTGTATACAGCTCTCACAGATAAGCGTCAATGTACACTAACTAACAATTATACAATAAGAAAAGACCTAACTACCAATCCATCCATCAATATATATATATCCATACATACATAAATATACACAAATTTAAAAGTACACATACAACAGGAGAGAGTGAAAGTGGAAGATGAAGAGAGAGCACGGGAGTAAATAGTACATACTTAAAGGGCGAGATAATAGGATTTAACAGAGATTTTGAAGCGGGCCAGACATTCAATGGTTGAATGATTTTACATACTAAAAATAGCGCAGAAATTTTTACTAGTATTAAAAATATTGAATAATTTACTAAAAGTATGACAATGTACTTAATTTATTTAATTTCTTTACATACATATTCTTTCTTTCTCTATATTCTTTCGTTCTTGAGTTTTTAGTTAAAATTCGTTTAATTTTTTTTTTTATATAACTTAGAATGGTAAACAAGCTGACGGCCCACCTGATGTAAAGTGGTAACCGTCGCCTATAGACATGAGTAGTACCATAGACATAACAGAGTATACTGTTTCGCCCATGATACCCCCATGCGTTGCCATTCCTGAGAACTCAGGTGTTAGTCCTCTGTACCCAGTACATTCACGCCATATCGCACCCTTTAAACCGAAACACAGCCATGCAAACACAACTGCTTCACGGTTGAAACACGAATGGGACAGAGGTACCCAAGCAATCGACTTTTGTACAAAGTCTCCCTCTGGTAGATAATTAAAATTATGAGGGACTTCAGAACAGTACTAAGTGCGGTTTTGATGATTACAGCAAGTTAGGTTAAATACTGTTTTATAACAGCGCTTAGGGTGCGTACACACTGTGAATTTTCATTGCATTTTTTCTAATCTGACATAAATAGATGATAAATATTCTTTTTGTCGTCGTCGATCCTGGCATATGGCATAAAATGGGCCACCCCTTCCGTTCCCGTAAGAGGCGACTAAGGGAACTTATAATTAAGGGAAGAGCAGCAACGTAACTTTTAAAACATCATCAGAGGCCTAACTGCGGTTGCTAACCCGTCTACCAAGCGTGGCAACCACTGGCAAATACTCCCTCTCTCCCCTCCAATTATGGGAAAGACCTATGTTCAATATTGGACAATTATTAGTTTGTATGAAATGGTACCTGGTGGATGGTGGTGGCTCAGGACCATTTCTAATAGCTGTCTATGAGGGAGGCCTATGTCCAGCAGTGGACAGATAATGGCGGAAATGATGATGATGATGATAGAATGGCATGATATGGTAACTATTGTTTTTTGTAGCATTATCTAAGAACGTCTGGACCAGTTTTGTTTGCTTTTTTAATATTTATTCTAATTCAATTAAGATTTTTAGGGAGAGATAAACAACGTCTATCGAGTCATTAATTTTCTAAACTTACAATATAAAGATTTGATTTTTACTTTATGGATAATTTAAAAAAAAATATAAATGATTTTTTAAATTATTACGCCTATAGAAATCTATATTATCAACGAGAAACATGGGTAGTATTTCATTTTTAAAAATTGTGCGAAGTCGTGGCATGACGCTAGTGTCGTAGTGCTCCATATAGTAACATTTCCATACGCTAGAGAATTATATAGAAAATGCGCCATGAAAATTTGCATTCGGCTATTTGCATGACGAATTCTTACTGCGCGTGCTTTTTCTGCATATTCAAGTATAAATTATTTTTGTGCAGTTTTTTCGAAGTTGTATAATTACATACAGTTTCCATTTGTATGGATTGTATGAAATGAATATTCATAGGTGTATTTCACTACGCGTAAAATTGTATTATTTTTGTGTAGTTTTTTTTTTTCAATGCGTTTATAATACGGTTTCCATGTGTTCCAGAATTTTGCGGAAATTTAAAGGGATGGCAACACATAATGGTTATCAATGAGTATTCCATGATGTTTTTTTTTATACAACTTAGAATGGCTAACAAGCTGACAGCCCACCTGATGTAAAGTGGTAACCGTCGCCTATAGACATGAGCAGTACCATGTACATGACAGAGTATACTGTTTCGCCCATGATACCCCCAATGCGTTGCCATTCCTGAGGACTCAGGTATTGTTCCTCTATACCCTGTAAATATATAATATCACGCCATATCCTACCCTTCAAACCGAAACAGCCATGCAAACACAACTGTTTTACGGTTGAAACACGAATGGGACAGAGGTACCCAAGCAAACGATGCTCCACTCAGGCGGACAAAGTCACGGGCGTAGTTCGTTTAAAACAAATCTATATTGGCAACAATGTAATATGCGACGAGCTGGCGGTAATGCGAAACTTAAAGTTAATAAAAGAATATCGAACAAAGATCTGGCCCTCGCCTGGAGGGCCATTGGATGCACCGAGAGCAAAACAATCAAGGCCAACAATTGGGAACAATTTCTGCAAAGGGGAGAATATTTATTAGAAAAGTTACAGCCACGGATTTATTTATAAGGGGGATGTTTTTTTATTCTTTTTACTAAAGTATTACGTTGGCAGGTATGATTATTATTTTATACTAGCTTTTACGCGCAACTTTGTCCGCGAAACCAGAATATGTTCTCATTAATAGAGATCAAATGTAGTTAAAATCTTTCTTCCTTCCGTATAGATAGATAGATAGATAAATACTCTTTATTGTTTCCTCCAAAAGATTACAATAGTAAACTTATTATAAATATAAATAATTACAAGAGATAATCACAATGAGAAAACAATGGGCGACCTTATCGCTAAAAGCGATCTCTTCCAGGCAACCTTTGGATGGAGAGGATTAATTATAATATTATTATAAAATTATAAACAATTTGCATCAGAGGCACTATATATATATATATATATATATATATATATATATATATATATATATATATATATATATATATATATAGTAGAGTTAGTAACTAAAATAAGGTTTATCTTATTATATCAGATTTTAATGGTTGTCTGCTCTCTCTCTCTCTCTCGTATATATATATATATATATATATATATATATATATATATATATATATATATATATATATATATATATATATATATATATATATGATCATCGTATTAGCTACTATCTATATCTATCCACTTCTGAATAGTGTCGAGTACGAGTCCTATTTGGGGACCTTGGGGAAGGAACCATAAGGAATGGCTTGAGCC